AGCATCTCGCCACACCTGCACGTCTTCACACACACACACACACACACACACACACACAGTCATCTGAAAGTAGACTATAGATATAATGACAACTTCACACTCAAATATTTCAGCATTTCTCTCTTATTTTTTAAATTTACAGTTCTTTATTATAGCAGTCTTATCACACATGGTCCAAGAACACTCAAACTGGAGTTATATATAATCATATAGCCTGGTCTTCAAACATCATAGCCAATGATGCGCTGCTTGCTTATGATCTCCCCCATATAAAATCACATCCTCACCTCAGTGGCCATCCAACCATTCAGCAGAGCTTCCTTAACTGGGAACTGTTAGAAGCGATCAGTTTGAGCACTACTGACTATATTTTTAAGGCCCTGAATAGCTGTAGAGATCTCATCAGGGACTGGAAGAACAAACTCCACCGTGGTAAAGTGCCAAAATGTGGCCACTTTAGGCTTCCAATAAGTCACAGCAGCGTTCATTGTTGAAGCCTTCTCCACCAGGTTATGGATAAACTGGGCATGACCCTAGGAGAGAACGTCTGTGGTCCGCAACAGCCGACTGAATGTCCAACATATATTTCTCAAGAGCCAGGACAGTCTCCTGCACATCTACAGCTCTGTCATGTAATCTTAAACTATCAACTGGAATTTAGAATATTTTCTGACATATAGCACATGCTCATATTTTCCCAGTTGTCTCCAAAATACTCTTTTTAGCTGTTTTTGATCAATTATCTTGAAGTTTCATTTTCCCATAAATTTTTTTGAAGTCCTTTCATAGGGTCATTTTGTGACTCTTCATTTTTTTCCCAATCCAGGACTACTGCCCTACCTCCTCTCAATACTGCACTTGCGATACAGTTCCCTCAGTAATAAACACCTGTCTTAGGCGCATTGTGGTTGTTAGGTGCCACTACTCTGTTCTAACTCATCACCACACCACACGGGAAACATGGGCTGGTCCCGGGTCATCTTCACAATTGTCTTTTTCTCAGCACATTGTTACATTGTTGCAACTCGGTGTGTCAATCTGTCTGGTCGAGAGTCTTCCCCTTTTTTCGTTGACCCTCTACTTTACTGAGCATGATTCCTAGGGACGGTTCTTTTGGGGGGATAGCAAACCCAAGTATGTGAGACAAAACCTAGTTATCTGCATCTAAGAGGCGTTTTGGCTGTACTTCTTTAAAGACAGATTTATTTGTTTTCCAACAGTCTGTAGTACTTTGAATGTTCTTTCCCAAGACCGTAATTCAAATGCCTCAGCTCATCTTTGGTCTTCCTCGTTCATTGCCAGGGTTTGTCTCACTAGGTTGGCATTAAAGAAAGGTTCAGCTAAAACTATGGCTTTGGAGGGGGGATCTGCTGGGTCAGTTAAATTCAAGACCGAGAGATCAGCTCAGGAAGTTATGGAAAACTGAATTAGGAAACTCGCAAGGGGGTAATCTTGATAGTTTTTCTGGAAGAATATAGGTTGATCATGAAAACCCCATTGGTGAGAAAAAGACCAGGAAAGTTGCACCCCCCACCCCCACCACTCCCAACAGTGCAAGTGCTCATGTTTTGAATCTGGCAAGGGCTGCCCGGGGAGAATTTTGTTAAGCCTTGCTTTGGCCCATTCACAAAATTGCCCTGATTGTGCCTCTTAGACTTTTTTTT